TAAGCAAATAAGAAATAAAGCGTTATATTCGCATAACAATTTTTTTTTGACCAATTCCATATGCTAAACGGAAGCAAGTTCTCCGTAATTCTTTTTCACATACAAAATCAATAGATATGTTCCACAGTACCCAACATAAAAATTAGGCCTTTACGTAAGGTTAACCAAAGGGTAGCTTTAATTACGGTTATTATTTTAGGAATAATGTATATCTAGCAAGCAACTTCAGTTTATAAATTAATTTATATGGTTATGCAATTAACTCCAAAGCTCTATAAATTAATTTATTGTAGATATTTATTCGAAATTTCGTAACGCAAATAATTAATTTAACGGTGACGCGGTGAAAACTCGAGCTGAAAATTTCAATTAAACACTAAAAAAGCCCTTGATCCACTAAAACTGTTAGTATTAATTTGGAAAATTCTTTGTCTTTCGTTACTTTTAATTAGTGATAGCCCGCAACAAACGCCAGATTTTTCACGTCATTTTCTAAAACATCACTCAATAGTAGCCCACACATGGAGGAGAATTTATAGCCTGACACAGGTCGTCCAAAAATGTGACATTAATTTTACTTTTCATTACACAAAATTGCTCCCTTCGGGGGCGTAAAAATAAAACTTTTATTACAGAATTCTCAGCCAGTTACGGACAGCAGAGGTAAGCCCATTTGTATGTAGTAAAAATCTGTCGGAAGAAGCACTAGTCCTGATCCTTTGCTACAATATGCAACAAGTCATTCGTGACTGCTAAGAAATCAAGTTGACTTTCATCTTCCTGAAAATCTACAAAGAATTTTGCTTATTCATCTTTCAATCTGAACTTAATAAAGCAATGCTCTCTTTCATCGTAGTAGTCCGGAAGCGATTTAAATTAAACAAGTTATTAAAATTTACAAATATTGGGTTATGATGCTGTCCAAATCCGCAAAGTTTTTATGTAGTCTGCGTTTAGCTGAAATTTATTTATTTTTCCGTCTAAACCCGTAATCTAAACAGATGTATGCTTTCGATCTCAGATTTATGTGGTGAAATGGCCGCTTGCAATTCACAATTATTTATAAAGTCATTAATTTACTTCCGGCAGAATGCCAACAACAGGTGAGTTGAACCTAAATTACACCCAAACCCAATCTTCACAAAACTCATCGCAATCTTATCAAATCCTTGGTTAAATTTTGATGCACCGTCATTGAACTCCTTTATAAAAAACTTACTGGAGTGTATATAAAAATGATAGGAATTCAATCATCCTTGACGAAAAGTACGTCAGCAAATACATCCTAGAAGGTAGCGTGTGCTTTCAAAACGAGCAATAAAAAGCCAATGCCAGAGCTTTCACTTTAAACCCCTGGATGTGGGTGTGCGTGTCCCGGAGATAACGACAAATCAAATTACGTGACATATTTTTATAAGTTACAGCGCGATAGATGAAATCCTGGCAGGCACAACAGGTGAAACCGACAGGGTTGGATAATTTCTCAAAGTGTAATTGAAAAACGGCTCGAATATTTAAAAGATCAAAAGTTGGAAATAATGGACCTATGCTTTGACGAGCGACATGATATTTTTGCAAAGATGAAATACCACAACATAAACATCTGATAAGTGTTATTCAAAAAAAAAGCCAGAGACATGAGTTGATTGAAAGATTTTTAATTGCTCACAATTTATATGCGGAAGAGATCTCGATTATAAAGTCAAATTTAAGTTATCTGTTTGAGTAAATTCAGGCAGACAGCGCATTCTGATCAGTCGATCGAAAATTCAAAAATTTGTAAAAGGATAACCAGAATATAACTAAAAAGCGATAAATAGTGTCAAATATTAAGTTGACGATTTAAAAAGATTCATCTCATTAGAAGCCTCTTTCTATGGATGAGCTTTAAGGATAAATAAAAAATATATTTAAGAAGTTACAATTGGTGAATCGGTAAAATGTAGGTCAAAGTTTTATCTGACAATAATAAAAAAAATCCTTAAAAAATAAAATCTGTTAGTATTGTTAAATGCGCTTTTACATGCTAATTTATTCAATTATCCCCTACGCAATAATACCCAGAAATCAATCATACATACATTTTTTTAAAAGCCAATAAATCCAATAATATATCATTTAACACGAGAGTCGACGTACTTTTCCAACAAGCTTTTGTAGCTTTGAAATGAGATACATAACTGTCACGCAAAACCCATTCTTGAAAATTTGATATTCTGTAAATTGAAAGATGTTACGCGTACCTACTCATGCAATGCATCCAAATCGTTTTCCATCTCCAAATCGCGATTTTTAGAGAAAACTATCTAATAAATAAGCAGTGGTACAAAACTAAAAGCGAACTATCGATCGTTATTTTATTGTTAAGGTAAAATTTCAGAAGCCCTAGAAGTTAATTAGCGTGTACAGTTCTCTTACAGCATTTTAACACATATGACGTCACTAAATGAGAAATATGCTCAAAATGAAAAGTACGTAATCTGGTAATCCATCCGAAAAATATCTCTATTAAATCTGGGGACGCCTGAACCTAAGCACCTATTCAGAAGCTAATTCAAGCCAAGACGGATCTGTTTGATTAACATGTTAGTTCAATGACGTCAAGTTAAGCTACGTAATACATTAAAAAGTTCCGAACAGCGATAGCAATCACACCCTGACTGATTCAAATCCTTTGATCCCTTCCAAAGATAAAAAACCAAACTACCAATTTTGAGCGACTCTGGTCTAATTTAAAACAGACATAGATACAAAAAGCTTGTCTTCCTTCCGCTGCTTCAAACTCGGTTTGTTCTGAAAACTCCGGCTTTATTACTGCCGGTTCCATGTCTTATTTCTCTTCATTTCCCAATGATTACGTAGAATAAGCTTGTACTAATAAAAGACACCAATTAATTGCAAACGATCTTTTATAGACACTTCAAAGAAAATGTTCAGGATTTAACGATGCAAGCAATTGAGAACGAGGCAAAAAGCTGATAATTGAGACACTTCAAATCTATATTTGCGTTCGTGGTTAAAGATACGTGGCCTACTTAAAATGCAGTAAAACTTCACGCCAAATATAATAACAATTATATATCCGAAATGTTTATTTTGTCAGTGGATAGATTAGTTCGTAGTTGCCACCAACTAATTAGAACTTTCACTTTTATTGTATAAACATTAATTTCAAAGCAATTGACTGATGAGACTGAGACCACACAAAATAAAAGCTTTAAAACATTTAGTTAATAAATTAAGAAAAAGAAACGGATACCATGCCTTATAATATCGATCTCTCTTTGGCATTTGCACCCAAAGCGAAACATTTAAACCGATTAATGAATAATCATTAAAATTAATTACAGCATCAATTTACATTTAATTAAAGATTAATAGCCTGCATGCTAAATTTAATTTGCTGTTGAAATGTTTTGGTGCTTCTGGATAAGAAAATGATTACAAAAGAGAAGAATTATTAAAAAAAATGCAAATGCCCTTAAAATACTTATTCATGATCATCAGATAACAATAAATCTGAAAATCCTGATAAAAATTGGCAGAGATATTTTGAATAATGCCGCCAGTTCAGATTTCTCTCACAATGTAATTTAAAAGGAGTCTTATCTAAAGGGAAAACCAAAAAAAAAATGTGAAAAGAATTTCACTCACAAGTTGCAGAAGTGCTGTAATACGAAACTAAATCTTRCACTTTGTCTTCATTTAGAGTAAAAAAATACATATTTCATATTTTAAAAACATATTCTTCAAATTAATTTACCACAAATTAACAATTTAAAATCCTAGTGGCTGGTTTGCAGTAAAA